CGAAGTCAATGTCGATTCCTTAGATGTCGTATATATATATATACTTAACCACAAACTTACATTTTATCCAGAATAGCTATTCCAATGCAAAGCTATACTGTGACAATTTTTATATTCATAACTCGTCTTTAGCTTTACGAAAACATAACTTTCGTCCTCGTAAAGTGAAAACGAGTTATGTATAATGTATTTAGCGGGCATTGTTTCAATAGGTATTTTACTATGCAACTGATAGTGTCTTATTTTATGCCTATGTAACAACTGCGTTAAACCTTCTTTAGCATGTGGCTGGCAGCGGCTCATGCGTATGAATAAACGCCTAAGTAAACAGAGTTATATCATTACCCGCTAATAATAAGGTACCTCACGAAAGTGCGCTCTTTCAACTTCTGCATTCATATGCACGCATGGAATAGATTGATCTGTGCACCACTTTGCTCTACGGTACATCGATACGAATACAACGATAGCTGACGAAAGATTATTACCTTGGCAAAATTTTAAAAATTACTGCTTGTAATAACAATAATACATTGAAGAACTATAATCGTGCTTGGCATATCTTGTCGTATTTTGTCACAGATTACAGCTTTTTTTTGTAGGTCATATAATACCTGCGAAACGATCGACACAATAACAGGTATTGTCAAAATTCTATCGCTACCCCTAAATGTTCTCTATCCTATTACTGCTAATCCGAGGTACAATGCATCAGGTTTTTACTAAGACCCACACACAGCTTAAAACTGTATTTACGGTGTGCTTCTGTGCACATAGGAGCACTTACCGTAACAAGCCTTGGGCATAGAATTATCGTAGAGGAAGTATATTCAACTAAATTAAAGCTCTCCTAAATTAGAGATAGAACTGAACAAATTGTATATTCAGGCTGTTTTTACGTATTTTATTGTCCTCATCTCTGCTAAGAAGAATCGATCGTCCACTCAGCGGGACGGTACATTCATGCGGTTTCAGAAGATTTAATTAGCTTGAACTTTTTACTGTTTTTAGTTGAAACTTGAACCCGTATTGCCTGTCGAACAACATACACACTAAAATACAGCCATATCAGACGACCTGATACTGTGCGGAGCATCAATAAGAGCACGACGTAAAATAGTCAGAGGAACTGATTGGAAACTTGCTTTCAGTATGCAGACAAATCCAAAGGCAAATTCGTGTTTCCTGCACGCACGTTCTCGTTGGCACAATTACAGTAAATAAGTTTTTCAAACCTTTTGTGATGAAATAGAGATGGCGATCCAATTCATTCATGTTTCTCATTTATTAAGAGCCAAAAAAAAAAGTCACAAAGTATCAGGAACCGGAAATTAGAAGTCGCTTTTGCATTTCTGAATAGTGAGAAATTTTAGGTGGCGGAGATATCTTGAATATTTTAAGAGATAAACGTATTCCTGAGAACCTATACCTAATAATTTGCTTAATTGAGGAATAAATAATTTTGGTCGATCAATTGGGGTTATATTTGAAAAAAGTCTCATTAAAAATGTCTTACTACAAGCACCTATTCGCTTAAATAAAAAAATCCTATAAAATGATTTGGAAAACATACCCTATATCTATTCTTGTCGGTATTTTCGATGGCACTCAAGCTGTATATGATACAATGACTACTCCCGAAATACATAAAAACACTAGAAAAAACTATAAAAATCAGTTTTTAAATTTGTACTTGATATCTTAATAGTCCATTGTATCCGAAATACCTAAACTCCTCTTTGGGTTAATTTCTTAAGTATATAGGGAAATTGTTCTTTGACTATAGGAGCAATTTCGCCGGTAGACCCACATTTTCTAAATGGTAACCACATTTAAAAAAAAATAATTTGTTTTGTTTAATAATTAATAATTTGTTTTGTACCGGTCGTGCAGATCTCGAAAAAAATTACCGAGCAGACTTAGGTCAACATTAGAAACAGATACTAGTAGCGGCCGGCTATTGTAAAACTAAATGATGCACATAAACAAAAAATTAACGGTTTTTATTTTTTTGATTAAATTTATTTTGTTATTCTACATCTACATTGTTATTCTAAACATGACAGATTGCATAACATATGTAGAATTCTTCGTGTACTGTTTTAAAAAATTCGCGCTTCGTTATATGTAGGCCGTACGAATAAGCTAAAATGACGTCAATAAACTTATGCTGTGATGTCTATTTAAGTGAGTATTGTTTTGTATTGGATAAAAACATTCAAAGACAGCAACTTGTGAGAATGTACAGCTCAAGATACTGACTTCGTGGTGACTGCATTGTGCGTGCATGAGCTACCTCGACGGCGACACACACAAGTCGGATTTACAAGCAGAGGTCCTGATTATTCTGAGCTACGCTAATCGTTAGACTAGAGACGCACATGTTGTATTGGATTTTGCTTGATAAAAACTGGTTGTGGCCGCACTGTCCATGTGAGTCATCGAAGCACTCCATTTTCTTTTCTTTATTACGTTCTTTCCCATTTTTCGTTGCCTTACATGTCCAGTTACCTTAGAATCACTTTAATACAAGCTTGCAAAGAGATCTTTAATTACTCCTGGATAACTTCACTAAAATCTTCAACTTTAAGTTCTGAAATTTTAAAAATTGAAACTCACATCACCGAGTCGCTACGACTTGGTAAAAGTAAATTAAACTAAAAAAACATAATCGACAATTTCATAGGCAATAATATTGCAATACAAGTGTGTAAAAAGAAACTGTTATACTATTTGAACGCCATGAAATATCTTCCACTTGCGCGCATTGATATACTTATAATCATAAGTTTGTTTGTGCCGCGCCGAATACGTGGGTCTGTAAAAGGCGAATACGGAAGGTTGATACAACCATAGTAAAGACATATATCTCATCAAGACCTAGTACTGAGAACTTCATTGCGCTAATTGGTAATCACTTTAAGTCTCTAAGATGGGTCTCTAAAATCAATAGACTCGTTTTGTTGACTCGTGGAATGGATTGATGATTTGAGGGAACGGAGTGGCTCAATGTGTTTGGGTTTAAGAGCTGAACTCTCTTAGCGCTGTCAATTATGACTGTTGTTTTTAGTCGAGTTTGGATTATGCTTTGCTTGCGCATAAATTCTGCATAAATAATTCGAATACAGTTGGATCTAAATGGCTCTTTTCTATAAAGTGACAGTAGATCGAAACAATAGGATAGATCTGTTTTAGCTTTAACTGGATATCTCGTACATAACTTGACTCTGATTCGTACATAATGTTTGAATTCCATCCCGGTGGATTCAGGTCGATCATATTACTAATGTTCTTACGATTACTAAAAAACCATATGCTTATATTAAGAGTAAAGTAATTGAGTCGGCCTTTCTTTTGAAATTCATACGGGAGCCAGACTAAGAATTAATTATAAGCCTTCGTTGATTATATACAGGCTAGCACAACGAATTCGATTTTCTACTCAATGCATACCTCGTTCGTTAAAAGGCACTTTTCATAACAACGGAAATTTGTTATCTTAAGATATTTTGATATCTGTCAGTGATCGTATCATAGGCCATACGAAACTAGCTCCCAGTTGAATTCCATTTAAACAGATTCGCGGCGGGGCTTATTGGGGCGTTAATTCTGTAGGACACGACATAATTAAATGGTGGAAGCGTAGTGTTTCCTCACAAATCCACTACTTGCCTTATTTTCAAGCGCAGACAGAGAAAAATTAACAGTGGAGTAAATTAAGTCTTAACGATGGTCTGCCAATCAACTTCTCTTTACACCAAGTTCTATTATACACAAATGACGTTTTTTATTTATACTGGTTATGCAGTATGTATCGCTGGTGGGACTATTATGTACAAATGGTTTCAAATATGGAATTAGGCCATAATGTGTTTTTGTGTAGCCTATTAGTACTAATATCGTTGGTATTATTATAGTTTATAGTAAGATGCGGCTCATACGATGCAGTCCCTTAAGTAAAGCATAGATCACGAGTTACTTTACATTTTATTACCTTTTTTTGCAGAATTTTGTAAAAGATAAAGAGGGATAGCGATTAATCGTTTGTTAAGATGCCCCGAAATTTATTTGATAGATGGATATTGAGTAGAATGTCGCCTGAAAAATTTACTAATATTTGCATTTGGACAGCATGCAGCGCGAGCCGATAGATCTGTCAATTTCGTCGACGCAGTGTAGCGTGCAATCCATGGGCTTTCAGGGAACGCTTGAGAAGAGAGAGCTGGCTACTTAAACAGACGAACCCATTTGCTATCGGGTAGGTTGCGATCTCTTCTCTAAGAAACCGATAAAGAAAATTCCACCGCCTATTTTGCCAAAAGAGTTTGCTAGAGCTTACAGCTAGAAGCAGTTACTTACTTTAGATACGTTTCGTTGAACAAGGTGTAAAAATAAAAAGGCACAGGCAGAAAAGATTTTATAATGTTTTCAAATATATCTCCAAACCAAGTTATTATATATTGTATAATACTTACATAAAATTACAAAAACCGTGATTTACATTTGCACAATTTAAGTTAATGGGCTTTATCTGACGAAAAAATAGTTTACTGAAAAATCGAGTCTAGGAAAATTAATTTTTATGCTAGAAGTTACCAAAAACTATTCTTAATTAATGGCGACGTAAGTACATTGTGAAGTATCTCTGTTTCTGTTTCCAAAAAGGACGTCTTTTAGCTCGGTTCCTAACGAAAAACGTGGAAGCATCAAAAATCTCTGGGGTGAAATTATCATGTAAACTCCATGTATGTGCAATGGTAAGGCCTAATTGGGCTTAAAAAACTTATTTTAAATTTAACGTGACGGCTAACTGCCACTAAGAACGTAAGCCTAACAAAACAGTGTAATCTCGGCGAACTTCTTTCGAGTATTTTGAACAGTAACACAAACGGACTCATTTGTTTGCCGAGAACAAACAGGTAGTCAAAGTTGTACGAACTAATTCCACTTTTATTAATTAACCCTAACTCAAATTACACAAGAAAATAAGTAGACAAAAGTAATTACAAAAATATACACACATTTTATTTTCTCATTATGTCTGGTACTTGTGGCGTTGTTGTTCGACAATAATGGAAACTATTGTGGAACGCTTGCATGTTAAGAAATCGTGTAAATATATAGTTATATAAAATATCGGTGACCACTGTAAACAAAACTATGATTATATTTTTCTCAAGTTTTCTTTTTTCAACAGGTTCATGCTGACCCCGCCGTTCGCTATCCTGTCACGGCTGATTTATCGTTCACACAGTCGGGGAAGATTTTTATGTAGCCCGAATCTGTGTTACCAGAAAACAATGCCTCAGTCAGAACTGATCGAAACTTTTATCGGAAACTGCCAGCTTTCTACCAAACCTAATATTGACGGGCATTAATAACCAGTCCATTTACTTCTAGCATCATTGTCGCAATTATTCCTATTTAATTATCCTCGGAGTCATCGATCTTCGGGGCAAGGTAGAATCGAAGATGTCCCATATTCTCAATCTTATACTCAACTACGAGCGGTACGTCAGCAGACATTGAAAGACAGACCTGGGTCGAAAGAGGCGTTGCTTTCGTAAACGAATTTAGATATCTGAAACGTGAATGATGACAACATAACAAGGTTATTTCAAGTCATCGCAACATGTATTCGCACACACTAAAAGTAAACTGTATTCGCCAGTATCTAACTGGTTAGTTTGGTGTTAGTAGAGTTGCATGTTGATTATTAAACATGACCGGGTCTGGATAGGTTTCAAAGTGTCTACGTAGTTACTGTATATGGCTGCCTTGCAGTACGCGCAATACAATGGCCATTATGAGACAATTCTTGTGCCACAGATTACAAAGACTCAATGATACCTGTCAGAAACGCGAATAAATAATCTAAGTACTAGTAGTTTAGACAATCAAAATGTAAGCTATACCGCCTTTTTGTTTCAATTCGAAAATAACCAACACTCAATAAGTTATCTGTTAAATACGAAGGTAAGCCCATCTAACCGGCGGAAACAAGATTTCGATAAGTAACAATCGTTATTGGACAATCGCGAAACCTTGGATTAGGGGTAAATTTCTCTGCGTTGTTATACACGTCCTTCCATTATCTGGACTACCTTATGGTTAAAGATCACTAACATATTGTTACAAATTGGCTACGAAGCGGTGCAAAAATCTCTTTTTTTTAATCTTTCTACTTTACGTCAGAGAGAGATAAAGATAAGCATGTACATTAAATAGGAAATACAAATATACAAGCCTAAGGCTGTTAAAATTTGAAGAAGCTGAGGTCAACCAAGAACTAATTCCAGTTTCATGTAATGTAACTAACATATAGCAATAAGCAAATCAGCGTACCATGCTTAATAAGTCTCAGCAACTCTTTCTGGTTTTCTATGCAACGGATATATGGGTGATAAAGAATTCCAAATAAATTATTGTTGATAACTGAGCGAATTAACTGCATAGTTTCTGTGCTCAGCTAATTGAGCTAGTAGCGCCCTATAGTCGTTTTTAAGAAAATATCAAAAAAGTTGGCGGCGATGGAGATTAAATGTAGTTTATTCACTCTGGATGTGCACATTGATTAGTACATCACTCGACTTGTAAAACTGTAAAATAGTAAGAATTCTAGACTCGCTGAAAAACCTTGATATATAAATGAACTTTAATAATCCAAGGACGGTCCGAATGGCATTGTACTATAACATTGATACAATATTTAAATGCTAAAAGAATGTGTTGCCCCAAACCACAATAGTGAATGTAATCATCGGTTCGAGACGCAATCCATAAAGGCATAAAAGTATGTGTTGAGGGAAACCTGTAGCTTAAAGACTAGATAAAAACAACACATTAGGCATACATTAAAGAAGTAACTTTCCCAGTCTAATCGTTGTCCAAAGGTAAAGCTTCACCTTGCGAATGAGCTTAATTAATTGACTGTCCTGTTAAGATTGATTGATCTGCTTTGTATGTTGATGGAGCACTGAAATATTTTGAAAGGGACACACTCCGATTTAAAAATGATTGCAGAAAGGTCCAGTGTGGATAGATTTAATGTTAGCCACTTCATTCTCAGCAGATGTCTGCATTAGAAGACAAATTGCAAGTCTGTCTTATAAAGGTCAGATTGGCAGAAAAATAAATTACATGCAATCTGTATTCACGGGACCCGATGTAGAGAAGGAGGAATGCACATCCATATAAATAGGTAAATATAAACGGGCCTAAAACTGAACCTTGCGGAATTTCACGTTTTAATGATTCATTATAATCATATGAATGAGGGTATTTCAAGACCAATGCGTCTAGTTGAAAAGCGGTTGGTCAAGTAAGATTTGGGCCAATCGAGTACTACCAGTAAAAGCTCACAGCAGAAAATTATTTATGAAATTTTCGTGGTATATCGGATCAAAAGCCCTTGCGACATCTATAAATATTGTATCTATTACAGGAGCGAATAATGTAGATATTGATATGATAAACCAAATCATAGGTGCGAAAAACAGCAGTGCAATTTTAAGACAGAACCATGTTGAAAAAATTATCTTCGAACTAATGTTTGACACACTTTTCACGCAGTTTCAGATTGAGGTATGTCATGGGTATAGATCTCTGGTTTGTTGGAGTACCTAAATAACATTCTGAACGGAGCGTCGAGGCATGCGGTAGTGGTGAAACTGGCTGAGCTGTCGTAATCAAAGCCACTTATGCAAAAAAAAAATGCAGATAATTTAGCTTCTTCATTATAGCTTTCAAAAGTCATGACATCAGATTCTTTAGCACTTGTTTGACAAGTATTTTAAGTATGGCCGCGGAATTTGTTGACAGCATGCCATTCTTAATTTGTTAAGAGTGCGTCTAAAGTGATAAAGCTTGGCCGAAGAGGTTTTAGGTGTGGGCCATGTACAATGAGTAAAATTAAAAAAAAAGGGAAAATATGATAAATATTATATAGGGTACGGTTTAAAGAGTCGAACGTGAAATCAACATCTGTAAAGTTGTTTATTGATGTTAGTATCGGTTAAAATGATTTGCACTTTAAAAGTTCTCCTCATACTTCTCTGATTTACTTCAAGGGCGGTTGTAAAAAAAAAAACAAAATATTGGTGAAAAAAGGCAAACATATGTGATATGTACACGTTTCAGATGCTTCTATCGTTATTTGATCAATTACAGCTAGTAAACTTTCAAAGGAGAAACATGGTAGACAAACTGATAATTTCTCATCTGCAACCGGTACATTTATGTTCGAGTCACTCGAGATAATAGTGAGTATTTCTTGTGAGAGTGATTATAACATTAAGCATTCCAATCAATACGTAGCAGTTCTGTCGATTGTCGGAGTAAATTCCAATAACGATGCGCTTCAACGATAGCCGCTTCAAACAGCACTTTAACACTCATGCACATCCAGTGACGAAAATAACTGTGAAGAAAAAGTGACGAAAGACAGCGCACTTCAAAAGATTCGCCGACGTACAGAGACATACCACCACCGCCGCACGGGGCAATCTATCGCAAATTGTTGAAATTTATGAATCATAAAGGCAACAACATTATAATTCTGTAGAAAAGTTCCCGAGCTGCGCGTAACGTCAATCCTGTTTTGCCCATAATTGTGCTAATTGTTTATATTGGCACTTTGCTCTAATGTCACGGATACTTAGAAGGGCAACGGTAATCTTTGTGAACTTAATTTAACAACTTACCAATTAAGTTGTCTAAATCATACATCAATGTGGGAATAGAAAGACAAGATATATTCCACTGCAGATGAAGCGCTTTCTCCTCAAGAGGCATGCTCGTTGCATATATCAGTAAGAGGTGTACTCATTTCCACTTCGAGACAGCTGGCAATTGTCTGTTTAGTTTGGTAAGCTTGTTGCGTACTTAAATGTTACGTACATACAAAAATAATTCATCATCTAGTAGAAGTAGATTTCTGGTTACATATGAACAACAATTCCATATAGGAAAACTCTCAGTATCAAGAGATATCGTCATGGTTTTTGCTGTTGGCTCTTTTTGGCAGCTGAACTCCAGTGTACCGTCCATTTGCCTTTTCTCTACTCTTGTTTTCGTTTATCTCTAGATTTTCTATTTGAACCTTGGCTCCTATTTCGTTCGCCATAGTTGTCACGTTTCATCTCATCACCAACTTTGTCGCCGCTGGTCTTATCATCATTTCCTTTACTGGATCTATCTGTATTGTCTTCATCCGCTCTTCTCGGGTTATTTTGACTTCGCGATTTACTCAGCGTCGCACGTCCAGATGTGCTAAAATCATTTTTTGAGGTGCTGGCCAGTGCTTCTTGGGAAATGTTTTCATAAGTTGGGTCTTGTGTTTGAAGCTTCTATGGTGCTCGGTGCTGCCATTGTATTCGAAGACACATCTTGCATATTGAAACACTGCCTGGCATCTGGAAGGTGGATACTAGATATGGCTCGGATCTATCCGCCAGAGAAATTGTCTTAAGACCGATAAATTACATGCTATAAAAAAACAATAAGTGGTACGGTGTTGGGATAAATAAGTCGATTGGATTTTACAACGGCGGATTTCTTTTGTTTGGAGGCAACAAGAATTACTGGTATTATGCGAAGGCGACTATAATGTTCACAACAGCACCGATACGACAGAAGTGGGTTCCAATTGCTGTTGTTCCACCGTTGCCATCCTTTTCCTAGTCGCACACGGGACGTGGGTTAAAGCGAAGGTATTGAAAGTTTGCGAAGGGAGAAGAGAAGCGTAGGGTTTGCAATCGAAAACAGAATGATTGCACGTTTTTGTTGTGTTCTTCCCTCCTCCACCGCAGCGCAAAGATCGTTGCTGCGGGGATCGAGAAGACTGAAGTAAAAATCCCGCTACTTCAACCACCCTCTAACTTTTTCCAAACAACAGCCGAACTAAAAATTCACGCACCGTGATGGTTCGCGCACTCTCTGCACGCGTCGTGCCCATTCTATCACATCACTGTTTTCACTGCTTTCATACACCGAAAAACAGTACAGAGGCAAAAGCAACAGCAAGGGCAGCCATCGACGAAGTGGGAAGGGAGCAAATGGAACAATTCCCACTTTGCTGTTGGTGCATCTTGCTGTTCACAGGCAGATCGAGGGCACTAGTGGGCCAGCTCGACAAAACGAAGCGCTACCGACCGAAAAAGTAGATGAAAAGTTGTCCATCAGTTGAATTGTCGACTTGAAACGAATGGTATAACGGTGCGAAGCAGGAAACAAACAGGACAACGTCAAACGAACAGAAATAGTGAGAGGGATTTTCCCAAAAACAAGTAAACCTGCACACAGATAGACACATCTCGGCGCAGGGGAACCTGTCAACTAATCAAGTCAACTAATATTCTAGCACAACCTAAGCTCCATCAAATCAACATACAAGCTGGCTGCGACGGCCGATCAGGAGAAACACCGGTAATTCCAACGATATGCTGAAAGCTTGATTGTTCGCAATGATTATGGTAGCCGTATCTGCCGCAAGTATACAATGTATTTATTGTATAACGGATAATGTGCTGTGCATTGCATTGTCATTCTTTATTGTGTCACGTTTCGATCCGATAACGGTGAAAATTTGCCGGAGAAAAAGTATAAACGAACGATATAACGATACAATCTTTGAAAATAGAGGCAGTTCCATGAAAATGTTTGAAAATGTGCGACATATGTGATAAATTCCTCAATCATGCCCATGAATACAATTCCAGTCTTTACAAACAGACACAAAATGTTCGTTTGTTTGTTATCTGCACATGGATTACGGCATTGCAATCTCGAAACTGAACGAGTGCTGATGCAATTAAGACAGGCCGATGCGTTTAAGCCTGCTGAATACTGAATGTAGTAGTGAATACTGAATATGAGAGAAAAATGAAAGATAAACATTAGAATTCTAGGCAAACTTTTCTGGTTTTCCTGAATTCTATATTCTACCAGAGAACTTTAGACAACACCATTCTTTAACGCAATTATGTAACTTCGTATTTGCTCTAGAATCTTGTATTGGGAGCGGCTTCGGCTCGTTCGTGTCAATCTTCTTTTCCCATAGCCTCCATAGAGACACACCGCTTTCATGCAGCCCGCCTAGAGGTAGCAGCGGCAGTTGTCGCAGAGGGTTTTAAGGACAATAACTCTGCAGGAAGATAATTTTATGACCAGTAGAATAAAACTAGAAACAGTCAACGCACTGGCATACGAATTGATTTCGAAAATTTGATAAAGAGACTATGCAGTTTCGGCAGTAAGTCATAAAGGACACAACACGGTTTGAAGCCGTCTTAAGCTGTTCGGTAGTCGAAACAATAAACGCCGACTATAAAATGCAATAACAAGAGTTAAGTATGAACACGCACAATTCCCAACCTCTACGTATCTTCAGTCAAAATGCCCTTGTATTATTGCTCCTTACTTTGCTCCTACAGCTAGTTATTGCTGGAAGCGGCAAAATATAATAGCTAACTACTAGTAATATATTGCGCAACGGTTAAGTTTCACTGAGAGCATTTCTTACTTTAGAGCAAAGGTGAGCGTAACTGCCTCCTGCATATCGATGATCACTGCCTCTTCCTCCTTTTCAACATCAGCCGTCTGACTCAACTGGATGTTGCCGGTTCCGAGATCACCAGAAGCTGAGAATCGGATACCATCCTTTGTGCAAGTCAACTGTACCGAATCGCCGATCTGCGAGAGATCGCGGCAAATACGCTGGAACTCAGCTGATGGCATTTTGACAACAACTGAGTAATCAGTCTCAGGGATCCCAAGGTGTTCTGAATCGAGATTCATAAGCTTCATCTCAAAATCGGATACCTTATCTTGATTCTGCGACTCGAAAACAAATGTGACCGTATCGGCATCGTCTTGCGCCTTTAACGTGATGATATCGTTGTTTTCAGCACACTTAAGGATCTTCGCCATCGATGTGAGGTTCATTCCCATTGAAAGATTTCTGTCACAGCGAAACTTGTCGAAGCCATCGGCGCGCAGGTTAAGTGCGACGAGAGACACATGAGAATTGTCCATTGCCTGCAGTGAGATACCCGACGCACTGCAGTCCCATGTTCCTGCAATATAATCAGTCACACTTCATGATCTTATAGTGTAAACAAGTGGACATTATTTCAACTATTCATACAAAAAATGTGTTCACGGAGTGAACTTTGGACCACCCTTGTTTGATATTATTTAACGTCTCAATGGTTTTTAGCCTATTAGTAATGTATGTGAATGTATTTAATTACAGCATGTCATACGAAAGAGTGCCACTTCATTTATCAGGTTGACAGGAAAGCAGGAAAAATGTGCGTTTGCTTTTTTAAGTTGTGTGAAGTTACAGAAGTTGAATAACATGAATCTTCCGTCTTAAAATCCTCTGGAGCCAACCCGTTGTCAGCTATTGCGACTAGACCTTAGGTTACCTAAAATACTACTGACTATACTCTCATTAGAAGTCCTTCAATTTCGTAAAACGCGCAGTTTAGGACCTTCTTGTTAATAGCTAGTTATTGTATCTTGATATTAATTAATGCCGAGCTAGGCTTGATTCGTCACTACGTTAAGTTCTTCACTTACTTGATGCAAATATATGGAGCTATAGCATAAACGTGTGGGTTTGCGGAGTTATAATATGTTTAGCTAAATAATAATATAATAAATTATAATAATAAAGAATCGAACCATAATGTTTCTGCACATGCTCTAACGTGTCTAGATATTTATATAACTTATTTGTGCAACATATGTTTTTGATAGAAATTAGAAAATAAGTCTATGCCTCGACAGCTTCCTGCGTTAGAAGACAACAAGACTTTTTTTTACTTTGCTACGCCGTTTTTTACTTTGCTTTTTTTTTAATTAAATTGCTTTCAACAACTAGTTGCTTTCAGCTGTTATAGTATTTTTGTGCCTAGTCAGGCTTCGATTTAAACGAATGATAAAAAAGAAACAAAAAAATACCTCAGGGGCGGAACGTAGACAATTACAGAATGTTCTTCTTCGAGGCAATGCCTTTTCTGATCGTAAAAAGGCCGGTTCGGGTAATTTCGCCATTGCAGTTAATAGATCACCCCAAGTAATATTACTATGCAATAATAAGTGAAGTTTCTAACGCCAAGGGAAGGTGAAATGATGACATCGATCGCTCTGCATTTATAAAATGAATTACAACCAGTGCCTTCCTATAGCCGGAATGGCCAACGCACATTTGTCAGCCTATCCAGGCCACCAACTCTATATAGTACTATAACAGACAACCGCTGAGTAAATGTGCAGTTCGCAAAGGCACACTACAGCTCTAAATATTTCTTTATTTTTGAAATAATATTGATACAAGCATGACTTATATCAGTTTTGGGGTACCTACAAACCTATACCTTATAAACCTATAGGTTGGAATAACAATTAGACAATATGATATGATTCAGTTCGTAAGATTTCGTTCCATTTCAATTGCGGACGTTACTCTGCAAATTCGAGGTTTACTGTTTGAATCAAATTTCAGCTAATACTTCATCGAACTTATGCTTCACGTATCATCTGCTGTTGCCAGCGGCCAAAACTAAGCGACTTTGACTCATCTGACCAAGACTCGTAGACCAATTGCATACTTCACCTTTGGTAGGCTATTTTACCGGAGCTAGTTTACTTTTTAATACAAGACACGATATCGTCATAACTGGCCAGATCTTGAGTATCGCACCTACTTTGTGGTTGTAGATATTAGATAAGAAAACTTAAATTTGCGCTCTAATCTACATATTTTTACTAAAAAACACAATTGAACAGTATGCAGGTATACAGAGCTTAGCAAGCAACTACTTGCCCTCGTTGATGAGGTCCTTGATTGCGTCGAGCATCTTCTTGAGGACAGCTCCCTGGTTAAGTTTCGCCTCAAACATTTTGCTACTTTTGTGGAAAATTCAAACCGCGGAAACGTTTAGACTTTTAATTGGCAATTCGATGTGAACTTAAGCGCGCTATTATCCGCCAAAACCCACTTCGAAACCGGAACATGTCAGAATTTGGCGCCAAACAAGTGTGGTACTGTTCGGTACCACACTAACTGTCCTCCACATAATCTATTCTAAGTCAAAAAAACTGTAAAGTGTCTTAAAAATTTTTTAGGGTATGATGGTATCTATTGAGTAAGATCGAGTGTAGAAAATTTTTTGCTACTGAGTGCTACCATAATACGAAAAAAACCAATGCACACCCCAAATACTATTCATTATATAAAAGTTCTTTATTACTATTCATTTATTATATCTTTTAGATTCAAATCAGAATTTCCTATCACTATCATATACGGAATTTGACGCAATGCGAGTAAAGTAAGGAAATCTTAAAAAAAAAACTAGATAAATTTGTTTTGTGGTACGATTGTGGCACCATTTGGAATTCAGCGTTCAGAATTCGTGTCTAACCGAATCTAATAGAACAACAAGGTGCGCGATGTTTCTAAAGTGAAGTGAACAATTATTACATTAATACTAAATAAAAGATTAATTCATATCTTATAATAATTATATTAATTGTAAATATTCCTGTGCTTTGTGTGTGCGTGGAACTATTGCGGCACTTTTTCAACAACTCAGCCGTAAACAGCAGTTAATAGCAATGTAAGTACGGTATAATGAAAAAACGTGAAAGTCACTTTCACGCCAAAAAAACAGTATAGAGACTTCGAGCACTAGTACATATGAAATGATAGCGACTATGGTTCACGCCACCAAATATAGATTACATTCTAGCGTACAATATATTTTCACGGTGGCATGTTGAATACCAAAAAATAAACGTAATATATAGATTTTCAATTGTTACGGCCACGGGAAGTGTTCTGTGGAACTGTAATTGTTTGCATCTATGTTCGCAAACAATTCAGACCCATTCGTGCGATTTCACTAATATGACTCCATCCTATGCATTGTATTAAATGGTGATTTTAGCTACGATTTAAAAAAATATGTTCGTTCTGTATTGCTGTTAGAGAAACTATTATATCAAGATCTTTATCATTGAGTCTCCTTATTCCAGCCGCTCGATATACGAAATGCAATTTTGAGATACGAGAAATCTACTAGCACTTTTAGAAATTGGACGATTATTTAATATGTAATAACAATAGTAGCTGCTAGATATGTTGATAACATAGAAAACATCGATGGTGAGTTGGATTCGATGGGCGTTGAAGTACACTGAAGTTCACTTTCAATTAACACGACATCCGACAGGTTTAGCAGTTTCGGTGTGATAATATTGAACCATGTAACAAAAATCAGACTATAATTATGAACCTAGATTGGTTAGATAGGTAGGAGTTGTGTTTTACAGCAAAGAATCCTCTTTTTAAATATTTGAGCGATTAATTATCGCAGTATCAACAATACGAACCATAATGTACCGTGAATAAATTCTTCAGAATAGTAATTATATTATGATTCGAGTTTTGCGCTTATGCACAGTTATAATAATGCAAAAATGGATTACTCTTTGAAGTATAGACTTCGTACATAGCTGAAATTTAGTCGAAGACTATAAAAAGAGCTCGCGTAGTATTCGATGGGTGAGCGTCGCTCTTAGACATCTACATATTTCAAAAATAGATTTATATATAAAAACAACTTTTTTAGTTTTCCATTAAAGCAATTTGCATCAGTGCAACACGGACTATTGACACTGTTCAGTTTCTTAGAACGTCTGCAAATGCAGTATTTCTTTACACTATTCAGCAACTCTAATTCTTACATCGTGATGTTATCCATGCCCGATGATTTTACAAACGACCCACTCAGCACTGTGAATCAGTTTCCCCTCTTTGATATACCGATAAACAACAAGTCCTATAAGAATGATTCCAGAAATTTAGATTGGAACAAAGATTACCTTGTTAACCAGGTCAGTTATTAACCCACTTGATTGTAATTGCTTATATATATTCCTTTTAGGTTCGTGTCCGACTAGCTTTAGAGATCGTTTTCATTCATTACGTTGATAATAGCATTTACCATAATTGTTACAAAAAAAAAAAGGCGAATACTAATAGCTGAAGTCCCGAGTTCCAGACCTCGTCAAATTAATCGGTCTCTTAAAAGTTTTGTAAAAAGTTGCGGAGTTAAATAGAAGATTAAAAAAGTGTTGTTTATATTTGTTGTGCATTTTTTATTTTAATTGCAATAATGTACAAAGCAGTTCACAAGCAAGACCTAAGTTTTTATTTCTCTCTAGTAGAAACACTTCAGACCAAAAGTAAGTGACGTTACTATTGCCGCCGAAAACATTATTACACTAGAGTCGCTGAAATGAGATATGGATTATATATAAAACCTGTAAAGTTGTTGTTGTTGGTACTTACTTCACGGAACAGATTTTATTGGTTTCGTAATACAGTTGGTGTAGCGGGTTTCATTATTTACATCTATAACAAAAAGCTTAAATAGAAAAATCCATATGCATATATTTGGTTCTTAGGGTCTTATTCATATAAATGCAATGCTGTAAAGCAGTTTTCCCTTTCATTGTTTATTTAAATTGTAATTTAATAACTTTATTACTATTATTTGAATAATAAAATGTTTAAAAAGGTTTTTTATATGATTAAGGTACATATGATACTTTAAATAGCCAACTATCCTTCACATTGTTTTGGTATTTAGTTGGGGTTCTAATCAAGTTCACCGACGAACCCACTGAATCTATGACGAGTGCTCCTACGGCCCTCAGGAACATACTGTTGACTTTACGAGATTACTGAACATAAATTAACAATTTGGTAGAAATCTACTCTGCACGCAACGCGAAGGTGTGTTTTATGTGTGGAAACTTTTTTTTATGAAACTTTAAGTTTCATATCCACCACGTGGCATCAATGCCTCTGACGTCGTATTGCATTCAGCTTACTGTATATGGCTAAAAGAGTATGTTTAATTATATTAGTGGACTAGTATGAGCTTTTCCAATCCTAAAAGGCAAACCAAGATTTATGTCATAATCAATGCCTATTTGTACGAATGATATAGTTAGAAACAAGTGATATTCATTTCCTTGGTGCTTTGAATGGAAGTTTAATGTGAGAAGTGATTAGCTTACATCAGAATTGACTTAATATTTAAAAATTAGAGACTACGAGTCAGCCGCAGGAAAAGTTTTAAATGTAAAGGATTAATGTAAAACTCAATTTAAAGAATATTAGTTGTTGACATATGTAATTTATTCTTTAAACAGAATGTTCCAGTTTCGTGCGTTCATATTTCGGCCAGTTTTGTGGAGCACAAGATCTGAAGCGTTTGCCAGTTATAGACCACGGCCGTATAATGATAACAAATCCTTTAGCCGCAACAAATATGATTCTCTGTCCGATGAAGAAATCTATGACGAGGAGATGGAGAAGTCTGAAGGTTTCGCTCACGAACGCAAGGTCGTTAAAGATGTCTATAAGGAAAGTCTCACAACATCGACGAGAACTGACGAAGAAATAAAAACATTTATGAAGAAACACAACATCACCGTTAATGGTAAATGAGAAAGATCTAACAAAGTATACATACATAGAGATGTCGACCTCGCCTGCCTATGAGGTTTAGAGGCAAACAATAAGAAACATGTATTAATGGTAGTTGGTGTTGATAAGACGTACAATGGAACATTTTTGTTGTTCCCCAGGTAACCTATTAAAACCTGTTCTGACCATCAATGAAATAGAGGTCTTTCCGAAACCCGTACTTAAAGAATTTACTGAAAAACGAATCACAGCGCCCACACCGATCCAGAGTGTATGCTGGCCCATGGTTATGTCTGGTACAGATTTGATTGGTAAGTTTCCTGTCCTTCACTTTTAGCCCAAAATGCTCTTTGATGTGGTCTAATGTGTGCTTGTACAATGAAGACACTGTGGTCTAATTAAAGGTTTGATTATTTACTAAGTAAGTAAAATTGTGTCACAGAGGAACAGCACAAGGGGAGCCTAGAAGCGTTACCCTCGTTAAGGAAAGTGGGTTAAAGGATGATTTTATTGACGTAGGGAAATTGCGGCTTCGCAAAGCTCCAAACAAATGAATGCTTTGCCTGGTATATGATAGATCTTTTTCTTGCCTTCTTGAAGCAATTTTCATCTGATGGAATATATGTTGGTTACATTTCTCGTCCTTAAAAGCTTTTTTATAGTTCGATTTTCGTTAATATCTATGTTAATGTTAATTGATATTTTTTTTTCTAACCTGTCAAAGCTTCTTCTTTCGTGTTCTTTTTGCCTTATTTTGCAAGCATGGAAGATTACTAGAAACTGATTGCGGTTATCATTAAAATTGATTTAAAATAGACATTCAAGTTTGAGCCAGAAGTCGATAATAGCAAAGAACTGAAGGACAGCACATATATATGGTCAAAAACTCACAGTGGGACTTTATAGAGATGGTCTTTTTCTCCGACTGTTCAGTCAATATTTCATGAAATTTCTTTTCAGTAATCATTAAATTCTATGAAAAAATATTGTTATGGTGTTAAAAATTGCGAATCAACTCCTTTCTTAGCTAGAGCTGCTAAATGCCTTTCAAAATTAAACATGATATACTGTAGACCGTCTTTGAAATCAGCCCACAAGTCGTTGTAGCTCCAGTGTTCATACGTAATATTTTACTTAATCTGGGAACATTTAGTACATTCTACGAGCAACTTTTTATGAAGACTAATTGATTTTTATATATAATAAGATGACTAATGAAATTGCCAAACGTTGCTTTGTACTTTCTCTAAATGGTCCAAATAGAATGAAAGTGGAGTCCAATCAACTTCAAATTTGGAAGCTACATTGTGGGGAAGTGGCACCTTCCGGCAAGCCCACCTGTTTAAATTTATTTAGCTTCAAGGATGGCCGCAAAATCGGAAGCCCACAAATCTTTAAAATAAATTCTTCCTCCTTGTGAACCAGCATTCATAAATTTGACTTGGGTTTTTTGAGGTCACTCAGAGATTTTCATTGTATAATATAACACATTTAGCTATTACTAGGCCAGGGTTCAAACATTATTTTGTGCGTAATTATTCCACTAGGTATTTTTTTTTGTATTATGAAGCGTCCCCTGTTAGTCTTCTTAAAAGGGTGGCAGTGAAAATATGATATCGTACACTCGTTTCAAAAAGGAAAACTCACATGTCAAAGGGTACTGTTAGCGTACACATTTACTGGAATTCGTAGTTCTTCATGGCTGCAAATACATACACACTGAATAGCTTCATTAAAATATTCTAAACAAACGAAGTGGTTTGAAGCTTTCACACCTGAATGACCAAACTGAAAAGCATAGCGTTCTGGCCTTACCGAAACGTTTGAAACGTTCTTTTGCACGAAATTTTACATTGAAAGAAATAGAGTCTGTGGAGTTTGAAATAGCGTTCGTGCTAGAATGCTAACCGTTTTAGGAAAAATGCGATTAAAAGTAATGGCTTTTTTGACTTGTCCTATTGGTGCTCGAAGTAAAATCATGCAAGTTTGCGAAATTCTACTGTTAAAAAAAAGTTACTGCATCGCCAGTATAATTTCAGCCACAAATAAATCAGTGGTGCAAAGTTTGAAAGATGAGCTTTGATCGCGTTATAATTGACTATCTTGTATGCATTGAGATTCGTTGAGAGTTCAGATGTGTACTAAGCTACACATTGATCATTTTTGCTATTTAAATGTATACCTTTGGACGCTTAATGTTAGTCCCTTAGTGCAATAAATGCCACAGTTATGGTTTCATTTTAACTTAGATCATGACATTTGCTGAAATATGTGAAATTGGGCCCCGACAACGTATGGTCTTAAATGATTTTTTCACCGGCGAATTCACTAGCGAGAACGATCGGGTACTGATAAAAAATTTCTTGGACATAAACTTCCAAATACTTGTAGAACAACTTTGCCTTAGTGAATTTGTCCTTCAGCTGTTTTTACCGTATTTTCGTGCGCCTGAAGTGTTCCAACGTTCCATAATAATTGACCTACCAATGTCGAGTTAAGGATTAATCTTGTTAATCGTTATCAACAAGTTGCTTATTTCTTAGATTAAACTCGACTTTATTCATTCCAATTCTGCTACGTTATTGAAAAATGTTTTTTTTGTCGAATTGCCGAGACAGGTATTGCTCAGACGGGGTCGGGAAAAACGCTCGGATACCTACTACCCTCAGCATTGCACATCAAGGCTCAACCTGAGAGCAACCTAAAAGGACCCACGTCCCTTGTTCTAGCTCCAACTAGAGAGCTGGTACAGCAAATCGCCAAAGTAGCAGAGGAGTGGCTATCATTCCATTTTGGGATTCGAAATGTTTGCGTCTACGGTGGATCTGATAAGCATTTCCAGGCAAGTCATCATTTCGTTCAACTTCGATTCAACGCTATACTTCTACAACGATACTTCCAGCAAAATGTACTAAATCAAATGCGAACGTTGAAATATCTTCTACACAAAAAATTACACTGATGCGTTTAAATGATCGTCTACCACTCTAGCGGATTTGTCATAGTTAAAAGCCATGAACATCGAGAATATATGTATACCTAAAAGTAACTGATTTATAGTATAGAGAAGTGATAACGAACATTTTTCATGTTTGAGAATATGAAGTGATTTTGTACTATTGAACCAATGAAGAAGGAGAAAGACTGCTGTGATAATAGCCATAGTGACCAGAAATTATTCTGGTCACTATGGTAAGTAGGAAATGATAGGGAGAACTATCTCTTTTGTTCCAACTACCCCTTGGCCTTTCTAGTATTATTTTTCATTGGTTGGATTTCTCTTGGCGAATTTTTAAAGCAGAATTAGTGTTTGATATAATGTACATTGTTTTATGTAGCCTATTTGCGTGACAATTCGAGATAGATACCAAGATTTTATAAATCACATCGTGTACTAAGAAGTGCTTAGAATATTATAATAAGACTGTGTCAGTGTGTGGGCGTAAAATCAGTTTCCAAATAAAATAAGTTTTAGAATATATGTTTGGGATTATTGCTGTACCATCACAGATAAGGGGACTGCGACTTGGGTCCGAACTATGTATAGCGACACCTGGTCGTTTAATTGACCTACTCAAGAATCGTGTGACTACCCTGGCTAATACCAGCATGCTGGTTCTGGACGAGGCCGATCGAATGCTTGACATGGGTTTTGAACCTCAAATTCGTGAAATTGTTGAAAGAATGAGAGAAGATCGACAAACACTGATGTTTAGCGCCACGTGGCCCGCGGATGTTCGTATGCTTGCTTCGGATTTTATGGAGCGAGATTCTCCCCGCATAAATATCGGTAAGATTAACAGCATCAGTAATAGTAGATCAACAAAGAAAACGCTAGCTCAAAATTCGAGAGGAAATTCTATGCAGTATGTATTGCTTTAGCAGGGTTTCGGGCTCAATATGATAACTATAACAAGTTAGTTAGTTACAATTTCACGTGAAAGACTTCCCTTTCATAAAACATGTATTCGGTAATCACTCTTCAAGGATAGAATCTAGAAATGTAATTAAAGTTTCAACCATCTATGATAATGAGTGTATTGCCTTATAATTAGATAATTGTTGTGATGACTCTTCCCACAACTCCAAACTTCTTACGTCTGCGGTGGGTGAAAGTGAACACCCATCCTTTTTCGAGCGTTGCCATGCTTCATCATTTCGAAACTCTTAAGTGGTGAACCGTTTCGCGGTCCACTGGTAATAGAGAAAGATGAGGGACGAAGTTTCTTGATTTTTCCTAGAGAGGCTTCACTATAGTTTAACGATTCGGTCTCTTTTGACTTGACGGCAAGTCTGTCCCGGGGGAACTTCTGTCAGCGATAATGAAAAATCGACCCCCTTAACTATTAGTGGTAGATGTTCGGAACGTTGCTACTTGCAGCCGGCTCTTCGGATTTTTTTCCAGTTCCTTTGTTACCGGTCTCGTTCATATTGGTGGCGGTATCGCCGTGTTAACTTTGCCTTGGTCTGCTACTGCGTTGTGGACTCTGTAAAGTAATAAACCTGAAAAAGGAACTTTTGTTTGTCTTCCCTTTTCACTTCATCTGTTCCACGTCAAAGATTGTTTACTTAAATGGATAAAATTCACATGCATGTGGCCCCTAAGAAGCTGGCCCTTGCCCGCTTTATTCTGTGAGGTGGGTCATGGTCTTCAGCACTGCAAAAGGGACTCTTGGTTACAAATATGCTCCAACCGGTAGCACCGATTCTAATAGACCGTAACTGCGTTGAGTTTAGAAGTCTACATCTCCTTAACATAAAGGAAGAAGAAACTATGCGTAGAGCGATATTAGTTGCATCAATGGCCTTTTTTCTAATCGATACAATATTTAATGTTATAAGAGCTTATACATCCTAGACTATACTGTGTTTGAAATAAGATTTAGACGCTGGATACGAGAACCCAGAATGTACATTTTGATTCTATGCTCGATGCCTATTATTGCAGTTTGTGGCCATATATATATATAAAGGTTTATATAAGAAGTCGATCGGATATACGCCATTGAGGTCTTCCTATGTTATTCAAGTCCGTACGTGTCAATGGAGCATGTTTCAAATTTATATGAGTTTAACATAAGTAAAAGTCTAATAATATTATCCTTTGTATATCATTACGATTTAAGTAATATACTACTATAGAGTGGTTGTGATGCATTTACTTTGTGGTAGGTAGATGGCGAAGCGTGGAGATGTAAACGTAAATAGGGGGCCGATGTGACCTCAGAGTCTTCGCAGGTTCTTCTCATATTGCCAAGGCGAAAGTAGCAGGAAACTTAACGTTTTATTTTTTATGTGAATTATGCCATGAATGTTTTTAAAGCGATTCTATTTTCGGCTCTCGATGTGCGAATGAGATGAAAGCTACTTGCGACCTTCTCTCTGGATAGGACTGGGTGACATGACGAATAGAAGTAATTTTTTGCTTAGCAGGAGAATGCATAATCAGCTATATAACCAAAAAAAACGACTTGCAAGTGTCAGCTTGCTGCTCGCGGGCATACCCTCGTGGTTGGTTTGCCGATGAATAATAACGGCCTGAAAGAAATACAAGTGGTACTTTTGAGCCAGCGATGCGCGTTAATCTACATATTTCCCACTCGACGATGGCCATAACGATTTTTCTTTATGAGTGCTTGGTTTACCCAAAAAACCTCAAAACAAAAAAATTAATCACATGTAAAGACTTATATGACGAAACGCATTCAACGTGTGATATACCTAATAGATATATGAATTATGTGTACATCCTCGTATTTATGGCTCTCTTGCAGTTATAGCTTTAACTCTTACAAGAATTTGCTTAAATAACACCCTGCTTTCTAGTCCATATAACATCACACAATATAGCAAATAGAACTACGATTCTAAGAAAAGCTCTTACTACCTGAGTCATTACGGTTGTGTAACGAATGCAATGAATTTCAACAACAAAAAACTAACGAGAGTGGGAGCAGTCAATAATTTATGTACTCCGCCCTTCTTTTCGTAAACCTGTATGGGCGAGACGATTGAATTTAGGTGTATTTATAATGATCTATGCAATAGTGACGTCCGAAATTCAGATGGGGATTTCGTAGAATGGGTATAATACTTATTTAGAAAATTGTATGTTTACCATTAACAGTATGACCAGATAAAGAGCATACGATATATCTGGATACATAGAGAAAACGATCAAAAATTACTGTATTATAGCTAGTAAGATAAATTACGTATACTGTACTATTCTCTTCCTTATTCCGTGGAGTGACGTAAAATCTCAGGAATTGTATAGACATAGTCGTGCGTAAGTATCCTGTAGCAAATTATGATTCAGTCAAAAATCAAAAAACGCCAAGGAGCCCCAGTTATAACGAACACTAATTAGAGGAATTTTTCTCATCAGCTCCGAGCAGTACGTTCCTTGACGATAACGTTGACTGCTGGTTCTATGCAAATGTATATTAGATCACAAGGTATTTATTGCCGCCTTAAAGAAAGTGAACCACACAAGATTTCTCTGGGAGGGAAGTCACCCGGGTATATTGGTGTATCGCGGACTGGCAAAAACAAAGAGGCGCATTTCAGCAGACATAGTTACATTACGTAAAACCTCTATCGACATTTCCTATATCTTCTAATGTTTGTACTATCCTAGAATTCCCTGCTGTCTTGGAAAACACCAATATTGGATTATACACAGCCATAAGATTGTATTCATACCACCAGATAAAGTTGGGAACGAAGCGTACAAGCAAAGGCGATGGGCTAATTGCCAACCGGACTACGACTGATATTGCAGATGTTAGCTAGTATGCGAAGCATGGCTATCACTTACACATCGAGGAGAACCAGTTGCATTCGTTGCGGTTTCCGCCTCATGTCCAGATATTAACTTATGCATCCTTCAGAAGTTATAGTTAAACAAAAGTAAGATTTCCGCTAGGTTCCTATACTTTTGTGTAAAGTGAAAGGTTTTGACCCTAGATTTCGAATTTTTTTGAGAGCCACGGCTCATCGTCCGGTTTAGCAATCAAGTATTTTGTCCCAGGATAGCGTACCTGATGAAGCTTGTTGTCTACAGTGCATGCTAGGCTTAAATTTGCAATCATTTTTGTTCGATGCAGCGAGAAGGAGACGTGCTCCAATGGATGGTGCTTATTTCTGCAAGCAATTGCCGATCTTATCCTGTGCGTTGCTTATTAACTTGCTGCAAATGGAAATTATCAAGCCGTCATAAAAGGGAGAAATGCCGTTAGTACAGGCAAAAGTATAGCAAAGGGTAACATCGGTCCAACATACGAAGGATTAAGTTTAATTATGATTATTAAGCTAAGGTAACCCAAGTTATAGTGTGACATGCAAACGTAAAAATAACTATTAATGATTTTATCTTGGAAATAAATAGTCCCACTTAAAATCAGTTCACCATCAACACGGAATATACGGGAAAAAAATCAATCTGTATCATGATATCAGAAGCTAAATTGGGTGAGCTAGGGAAGGATCTTGTGTTAGATGTTATCGTTTATCGTCTAAGGGATCATAAATATCCTGATTTACTTTGGACAGAATTTACAGCAGCTTAAATGCAAATTAGTAAGCGTATCGGAAGAGTGACAATTTTTGGGTAGGTGGCACTGTCCCGTTCACAAAGCGGTACAACGAGTAGTGTAAACTGAGCTGTACAAGCGCAGGCAAATATGAACAAATCTTCAGCGGCTAATGTCTTCCCATGGTATCGTTGACATTCCGGTCCAATTTCCAACGAGTTTTAGGAGAACCGGAAACACGAGGAGGAATTGCGAGGCAGTGATAAAGAAAAATGAGAGAGGGACAGAGAGAGAGAGTACCTATCCGGCGGCATCAAAGGGTTATGGCTTCGAGTACGTTCAGTGCGTCGGACTGCTGTCTCTCCGCCATAATGGTGTAGTTCTCTTGCTATGTTCTGAACTGAAAACTGATGGTGTCCGTGATATCCGATCTGTTGTAGATCCAATGACGCATTACATCATGTGGGCGGCCATTGTCACCTTCGCCCATTTTCTTCTAGGCAGTGATGCGGGTAGACAGCTCTGCCGGTGGAAAGATAATTCTCATTCCTAACCATTGTGCGTTTAATGGCGAGAAGCGACAGATGTGAGCACTCGGCCTTCAGTCGTATGTTTCGCACCCTCTTTCCTCCTTCGCCCTAACGTCGGGGTGGTCTTATTGTAAATATAAAAGTCTGCAATTTTGTTTGCCGCAATAAAAATGTGCTCGCTGTCCTACATGTTATTGGGTTTTTTTCGTATAATTCGACCTGCTCTTTTTCAGGCACACCTACCTTCTATCTTATTCAGTTTTCATCTTTCCCAGCATTGCAAATGTCGGTCTTATGGAATCGAATTATTATAACTAGATTTTTACTATATTTTTGCTTATGTGGGTTCTTCTCTCTGCCTCAGGTTATAACTAAATATAGTTAACCAATTCTGCCTAAGACTTGAACCCTGACACAGTTCTGATCGGTTTTTCTTGCCACTTAAACATGTACGCGTGTATTTGAGAATAAATCAATAACGGCTGTAACGATGCAGTCCAAACATCTTAGTAATCGAAGAGATCGCTTGTATTGGCTTTATCTGATAAAAAGTATATAATGAGGTTAAAAATAAGCAACTTGTGGAATAACAAAATCGCTAAAGTGTACATGCACACAAATTGTAAAAAAGGTACTGTACTTTAAGTATTACTGAGCGTCGCACTCGAGATCAAATCGTCCCTACCGACAACGTAGAAGAACTCCTATTACAACTAATTACAACT